TTCTTAACCTAACCTAACCCATAATCTTAGGGTCGTGAAAAAAAAAGCAAATATAATATAACTTAATGTTGAACAATTAGTGTGCAAATCAGTATTTTTGTTTATTTTGATATGCAGTAGGTTATTAGTGGAGAAATTTAGTTTGCTTAAATGTCTAAATAGAGGTGCAATAAAAAATTCCCCTTAGTTAATTCAGTATATCTCACGATAGTTATTATAGAAACTACTATATCACTGTCATTCCCTTTAGGGATTAGCTGGCATAATGATGATGTGTATGTTTTTAGACATCCCAAGGACGAACCCTTCATTGTACCGTGGAGTATTGTTTTTGCAGTATAGCCCCAACAAAGCACCAAACAGATTACATTTAATTATTCATACACACATCCTGTACGGGAAACGTCACATTTCATAGGATGTGTCGAGGCTCAAAAGGCGTAACCGCCATTTTGGTCAAATTGACTTTTTACTGCATTATTATTTACTTTTATGTACTTTATCTGTATAGATTTCAAGTAAAAGACACGATATAAGGCGTCGGCGTGCTCATGAAGAACACCATTTTTTTTTAATGGGGGAAAATCATCGAATGACTGCACCCGCCTGGGTGAGGCGGGAGGGAGTGTCAGACTCTTACTGATTAAAAACCACCCCGTTCCTTCTCCTGCACGTCGAGCTGGAGCCCCGGTAACCCGTTAGGTTCTCCGCGACTCCGAAACGGCATCTGCTTTTTTTTTCGGCACCGACTTATGAACACGTCGTCGAAGACCAGTAAGCTGCGCGACATCGGTGCGGCCTCGCGAGCTGCTCATGAGGAAGAGCGTTTCTATGGGTCGAAACCAGTAGAATTTTTCTTAGGTATATTCACGTGAGTAACCCGCGATTTTTTGGATAAAAAGTAGCGTATAGCCTACGTTTGTGTATGTTTGTTACTCAATCATGTCAAAACGGCTGAAGGGATCGGAATGAAATTTGGAAAAGGTAGAGAGGTATTTTAGTTTTTTAATGCAGAAACATTTTTTAAAGTTTTGACTGCCAATAGAAGTGTGGGAGAGCCATGCTTCGGCACGAATGGGCCGGCTCGACCGGAGTGATACCACGGCGTGTGTTGTGTTTCGTCGTGTGAGTGAGGTTACCGGAGGCCTAATAATTACTCTCCCCTTCCCCAATCTCGCCAATTTCTGATTCCCCAACGATCCTCAAACTTCTAATCCCCAAAAGGCCGGTAACGCACTTGTAACGCCTCTGGTGTTCCAGGTATCCATGGGCGACGGCGATTACCATCAGGTGATCTGTCTACTCGTTTACCGGCTTAAGCCAAAAAAAACTGGAGAAGACAAATTCTTAGCAAACGTCGGACACCGGTGACCCCCATAGCGTTTAATGTATTAAGATCATAAACAATGGTTAGTTACCAACACTAAACCATAAATCCATAGCCTTTAGGTTTAAAATCTAAAATGTTATGTCCAAGTAATTTTTATTTGTGGATTTTCTGAAAAATCGAGTTTTGGGACTTACGCAGTTTGTGCTCGAAGGTATCGTTATGTGCACTGAAATACTTCCGGAAAGCGATGTTTTTCAGTAAAATGAGCTTATGTAGGAATATTAATGTCGGTTTTATATTGCAAGGGTCTTGATTCCTGCTGTTTTGTTGGGTTTCTTTTTGTGAATACGTTCTTAGTGGATTGTCAAGTTGTGTTTTAGTGAGCTGCTGTTTTGGTGGTGATTTTTCGTAGCGTTAGATTTAGTAGACTAATACTAGTTAGTAGGCAAATACCTTACTTGTTTTAATTATCTCGACTTTAACTGCACCATGTATTTGTCAAATAGATCTAAGTGTGACTGTAGACCAAAATTGATTTTCCCCCCTTAAAAAAAAACCTCAGATCTTAAATTCCTGTTCTATTTCAAATTTCATATACATAACATAACATCACGCCTTTTATCCCCATAGGGGTAGGCAGATGTGCACATTACGGCACTTAACGCCACTGTACAATGGAACACCAACTTTTCACTGTTTATGTTATGAGTCCCATGTAATAGGGGGTGAGCCTATTGCCATATACCGGTCACAATTCCAAGCTTCGTGCTACTACTGACATTTTTTTAAAACTCAGTAATCGAGACCTCTGTGACCACTCGGCCTACGAGGTCATATACTTACCTCAGTCTACCCTTATGCGAAAACATAGGCATTATATTAAATTGAGATATATGCATTTGTAATCTAAGCTGGCACGGCTAGGGTATGCAGTCCATTAAGTGCCATTAGTGTTGCAATTAGTGGATCGAATGAGCTAAGTAAGAGTAGTGTAGCGTATATGATAAAGATGAGTTACGATACAGTAATACTATATTGTGGCTAAAGTAATTTATGCAAACAATGCATATGTTGTAAGGGGTAGACAGTTCAAATTTATGAGTAACATGCTTATTGCCATGGACATGTCTCGTTTATCACAAAAGGCATTAGGGCGCACTACATCTCATCATTAACAACAGCTTATAAGTAGCCACTGCTGACCAAAGGGCTCTACTCACACGGAGAAGGTTTGAGCATTAGTTACCAGCGTGGTGTAGCATTTATCTAGCAATCTAGCAATATGTTTTGTTTTTAGTAAAAACGTTGCCCCATACTAGGATTTTCTCCTGTGCCGAGGGTGCGTTTACAAACGTACAAATTCACATACACAATGATACTCAGATACCGCACAATAACTTGTGGATTACACTAAGAGCTGCTCCGTGCGGGAATCAGCAGCTACCGCACCAACCGTGCAGTCGGATAGGCTGATATTGTAGGACAGCATATGCATCCCAATCATATAGATGGTTGGCAGGCCACAACTGTGCGGTTCTCACGATGCTATCTGCCTCGCACAGCAAAACTGTGGAATGATCTATCGTCGGCGGTATTTCCGAACCGATACGACCTTCAAACCTTCAAGAAAAGAGCGTACTCCTTTTTAAAAGGCCAGCAACGCACCTGTGACTCTTCTGATGTTGCGGGTGTCCATGGGCGGCGCTGATCGCTTACCATCAGGTGATCCGTCTGCTCGTTTGCCTCCTATTCCATAAAAAAAACCTGACTAAGATATAGGTACAAAATAATACATATATATGGGATATTGTCTTACATTATTATTCATACGTGTATATATATATATATATATATATATATATATTATATATTGGTAAACTTACACGCCTGACCACAGTCGCTCCACATATTAAGGTTCATTTTACTCCATTAATATTTATAAACGAATAATTATATTTTGCATAGGACACGTACGGACATGATGTGTAATATCCTCCGTGTTTTGAGGAAAAAAGGAAAGGGGTAGCTTCGTAATTAACAGAATGAAACGACAGTTCTTTTTGTGTGGCTCCCTTGTTTTCCTAAACTAGATCATTCTAGTTAAGGTCATCCTTGGGTATAAATCTGATGAAATGGGCAAGTATATTTATTTTTGTGGTAGATAAACAGATGGAGGCATTTGTGTGTATGTATTTTACGTTACGTAAATTGCCTTTAATGACTACCCACAGTTCACTTTTGGCCACAGTTCTCTTCTACATAAGATGATCATGCATAATCTTCTCGCTCAGTGAGCGAGTTTGTAGATCGTTGCTGTCCAATCTTTGCCGAATCAGTAGTTCTTCAGTCAGCTTTTAGAATAGAAGTAAAGGTGGTCACAGCACACTACCTAAGTATGGATTATGTACGACTGTTACTGCACGGTTGGTGCGGTGGCTGGGCAACCGGCTGTCATGCAACGTGTAGCGGGTTCGATTCCCGCACGGAACAACACTTTGTGTGATCCACAAATTGTTGTTTCGGGTCTGGGTGTCATTGTGTATGTGAACTTGTATGTTTGTAAACGCACCCACGACACAGGAGAAAATCCTAATGTGGGGCAACGCTTTTTAAACAAAAAAAAAAAAAATAAATAATGTACGTATGTGTCAAATAATTCCATACGCTCTAACTTTTTTTTTATGGCATAAGCCGGTAAACGAGCAGATGGATCACCTGATGGTAAGCAATCGGCATCGCCCATGGACACCTGGAACACCAGAGGCGTTACAAGTGCGTTACCGGCCTTTTGGGGAGTAGGAGTTAGAACTACCACGTAAGGGCCGATTTTTCCACCAACAGTTAATTTTTACCTGTACAATGAACATTGGACAGTTTTTAGTATGGAAGAATTGTCAAATATATAAAGTTATTCCCTTATTCTTCCCTGGTCCTTAGTCTTCTAACTTTAAACATAATTGTTCTCAATAAAAAGTAATACAGAAAACAGCAATTCGGTTAGCTCCGGACTTCAGGTACAGAGATAAAAAATATGAAAGAGCGCAAAACAAATTCGCATTAATTCTATCTTTTCTTCGGCTCGTTTCTCGTGATCTTATTAACTACACAATTAAGAGCGAAAGGGGTAGAAATTTCATTGTAAGGGATTTTTGAAAAGGCAAAATGAATAACCCAATTTCAGTAATTCTTTGCTTACATTCTTTTACAGTTTTGGGTATTTGAGGTAGCGTTGTTTTTTTTTTTAAGTTTGTATTTGAAAGCTAATTTAAGCCTGGGTCCTATGATGAGAGGTATGTATATATGGGTTTTATGAGGTTTAGTGATTATCTTTAATTGAATTTCGTGGACTGAGCAAGGGATCCTCGGTTCGATTCCCGGGGCGAGCAAAGTAGTCTTTATTTAATTCTCAGTAGTAGCACGGAATCTGGAATCGTGTCCGGTATATGGCCATAGGCTCATCTTCTATTACTTGGGAATCATTTAACTTAAGCTGTCAAACGCCAAGCGGTCACCGGTGACCGCAACCTATTGTTCTATAATTGTGTCTACAAAACCGGTACTCGACGAGTTAAATAGTGTAAAGTGGGTGTTGCATTGTACAGCGGCATTAAGTGCCGTAATGTGCACCTCCTCTTAACCGTTCGGGGAGGATAAAAGGCGTGATGTTGTGTTATGAATTTGGTGAATTTAATTTTATTAGAGGAAATGAATTGAACACTTTATTAGATCGATACTTGTAGTAATTAATCCTTTTTTTTAAGATCTTCGGTTTATATTGTGCTCATTGTGTTTTCTTCAACCATGTACTTATGTTATAGTAAATAGAACTTGAGTGTCTATACTTTGATTGGAGCACAGGTTTTAAACTACTGGTAGAAAGAATTGTTTGCTCTTTTTACATCTGTTCGGATGAACCACATGTAACACTGAAAATAAAGACAAACAAATTAAACCTTAATAACACTGTCTTATACAGATGAAATTACTATGGCATCATAATTTAGTAATTTTAGTATCATAATAGTTGTGAAAATTAACCGAAAATATTCTTATCATGTCTTTGTTCACATATGTGAATGTGTGCGATAAGACGGTAAACGAGCAGACGAATCACTTGATGGTAGGCTATCAGCATCGCCCATGGACACCCGAAACACCAGAGACGTTACAAGTGCGTTACCGGTCTTTTGGGGATTATAAATTTGAGGATTGTTGGGGATTCAGGGATTGAGAGAGGGAGAAGTAATTGGGTCTCCAGAAACCTCACTCACACGACGAAACAAAACGCAAGCGTTGTTTTATATTGGTTATGGAATTGTTATTATAAAATTTTGGTCGTATTTTGGTAATAACAAAGTTTATACACTGTTAGATAAGGGTTTAGGATCCTATAGAACCCACAGTAACAAGCTTATGTCTATATTTATGACAATAGGGGTAGGTCATTGCCCTTACAACATGACAGTTCAAGGCAGTTGTCTAATGAAATATGTTCCCTACAGACTATGTGCCAACTGTTGCTAATATAGTCCTTAATTACAAGAGGAAATTGATATCGTTTAGTTAAACGATATCATTGGCAGTTGCCAAAGGGGTTAACAGAGCTAAGGGTAACTAGTTTTCTCAAATTATGTCATGAAACTCAATAGGGATGATGACAAGGTATGAAAATTAAAAATCAAATTAGTCCGTCATTTAGTTAATGAAAAAATATTAGACACGTATTTTTTTTATTTTGTCGCATAGGAAAATAGTACTTAGATAAAACGAATTAAAGTTAAGGAGTGGGGGGTAAATACGTCATTTTAGAGTATAAATCGTACTCAAAAGACACGTCATGTAATATTTCAAATCAATATATCTTCGAAACTAGTCGTTTCTGTGAGAAAATAAAAAATACGTGTCCAATGTTTTAAAATAACCTACCAAATGGACATTAAAATTAAAATTAGTCATCTATCCTATTCTCATGTGACCTAAAATGGGAAAATTGGTTATCAGGCAGACATTTCCAAGTATTAGACTAAACTGCAGACTTTCTTCTTTGACTACACATTATTTCTGAGTCGAGCATAATAATATGTAGTAAATGATTATTACTTTAAAGTGTGTGTGTGTATGTATGCTACTTAAAACACCAAGCGGTCACCGGTGACCGCAACCTATTGTTCTTTAATTGTGTCTATAAATACGGTACTCGACGAGTTAATCATGTCAAAACTACTGCAGGGATCGAAATCCAATTTGGGACAGGGTTAGACTATGGTGTCGTCCGCTGTATGGGCGGGAGTAGGCGTTAGCGGTGTGTTCACGCGCGCCACTCGAGGAAGAAAATCGCAGCTTTTGAGGGTTGCTACGTGGTGGGACCTGCCACAATGTAGTGGTAGGTCGAGGCTTGCCGAATCCTCAAGGGCGTCCCGGGTCACGGCCACAGACAGAGGAGGAACACCGCGGTGGTTTTAGCCGGTAAGAGTCCGGCACACCCCCTCGTCGTCCCCACGGCGTGGGAAGTCCATGAGGATTTCCATCGCGTTATTTTTAAAAAAAAGTTAGACTATGGTCTAGAATAACACCTAGGGACCTTTTTATCTGAAGAAAAGCTGCGAGTAGAAGCTAGTATATGTATAAGTAAATTTATGAATCCATGATCCAACACATATGAGTCTTTTAACCGCTTCAATGTATGTACATAGAGACATTGAGTCTCGCCTATATCGTTCCAGCATTATTTTTTTATTTACGTATCTTTAAATAACAAAGGTATCTTATAATGTAGTATTTTTGTCATAAACATAACATCATAACATCACCCCTGTTATCCCCGAAGGGGTAAGTAGAGAGATTTCGCTTTGTATAATAATATTTTTGAATGGATTAATTACTGTTTGTTACTAATATTGACTTTGTTTTAAAGTTAGTTTGTTATAAAGCCCCACAAAACCGTTGGAATGGTTTGACTGCGGGGTCAACGAGTCTCTAGACATTACAATTAAATATACTTATTAAATATTATAAACACATCTATAATATAATAGGGTTATAACTTACACTTAAATAGACCTTAAGACATTTCCAAATAATATAAATTTAAACTGTCAAACACCAAGCTGTCACTGGTGACCGCAACCTATTGTTCTTTAATTGTGTCTATATTGACGGTACTCAACGAGTTAATTTGCGCTTCAATCTTCGATTTTTTTTCACTACTGATGTCTGCCTGCAGACTATTCAATAGATAGGGTATTCTCCTTTTTTAACTCGTCGAGTACCAGTTTTGTAGACACAATTATAGAACAATAGGTTGCGGTCACCGGTGACCGCTTGGTGTTTGACAGTTTAATGTTCTATCACCGTAGTAGTCGGTGACTCTGGGTACATTCAGTCTAGCCGCGGCCACAGAACGTATATTATAGTTGTTCTTTACATAAGTTAAGTCATGCCCTTGGGTATGGTGGTGGTTAACTAACATGACATACCATCACGCCTTTTAACCCCGAAGGGGTAGGCAGAGGTGCACATTACGGCACTTAATGCCACTGTACAATGTAACACCTACTTTTTACTATTTTTGTTATGAGTCCCATGTAATAGGGGGTGAGCCTATTGCCATATACCGGGCACATTTCCAGACTTTGTGCTACTACTGAGATTTTTAAAAACCCAGTAATACTTTGCCCGGCAGTCGTACTAGCGACCACTCGGCCACCGAGGCAGTCTTAACTAATAAAAGATATTTATTTTTGAACGTAATCGGTAGCGTTTTGTATACTTCCATAAGTCATTACGATCGACTTTTCAAGACATCAAAACTAAGATTTGTCCTCTAAATATATTTATAACTACTACCAAACTATTTCTGTAACAAACATCTAAGATTGCGTAAGGCTGTCACACACGTATTATACCGTGACCCTAACACCGGGATTACACTGTAATCTTACACAGATGTCGCCTTAGTGTGTACACAGCTTAACGCATTAACCCCCAGAAAACAGTGTGGGTAATATTACTTAATGATAATCTATTCAGTTTTAGTATTAGATGCTGGGTAAAGTTTGTATTAAAGCGTTTTGTTAAATAAACTGTTGATTTTATATTAAAACTGGCTGTGGCTCGCGACTTTGTTCGCGATGGATATGAATTCTAGAACTTTTTATTCCAGATGGTGTTTATTTAAATATCATAATTTATATAACTACATAAATATTTACAACTTAAAATTAACTACAACTAAACTATTGAATAAAAAGAAAGTAAAAGAAAACAACAAAAATTATACCCTTAATTTAGGCGTCAAAGTATTAAATTCTATTCTATAACGTATTCTAGAACTTAACTTTTTCCTTCTTCATTTTTCCGAAATAAAAGTACTGTCACTCCTCTTAGTACATGAGCTACTTTCCAATAAAGTCTTGCAAAATTGGTCCAACCATTCCAAAGATTAGCCAGTACAAACAGACAGACAGACACAAAAATTGTAAATAATGTTATCTGTAGTAAAAAGCGGTTATTTTAATATTGCAAACAGACACTCCAATTTTATTTATCTGTATATATTAAATGCCTGTCGTGTTTTGAAGGAATAGGTAATGTTGCTGTTAATCGAATCGATTAAGACATAATAGCAAATGATTTCGGGTATGAATTTGATCAGCTATAGTTTAGAGTTTAGACTGCCTCGTTGGCCGAGTGGTCGCAAGTGCGACTGCCCGGCAAGGGGTCTCGGGTTCGATTACCGGGTCAGGCAAAGTATAAATGGGTTTTTAAAAAAAATCTCAGTAGTAGTACGGAGTCTGGAATTGTGCCCGGTATATGGCTGTAGGCTCACCCCCTATTACATGGGAGTCATAACAGAAATGGTGATAAGAGGGTGTTACATTGTACAGTGGCATAATGTGCACCTCTGCTTACCCCTTCGGGGGTAAAAGGCATGATGTTATGTTATGTTTAGAATTGTCCTTAGTAAAAAATTAGTAATTTGCTGCTCTTATTGCGTGGGACTCAAAGTTAAAATTGATATAATATATTCTATGTTCACTTTAACGGTTCCTTTTTTGAGAAATGCGATTAATATGTGTCCCTGTGAACTTAGGAAAGATGGTGTTATATCGTCGTGTGAGTGAGGTTACCAGAGGCCCAATTACCCCCCCCCCTCCCCCCATTATCAATCCTTGAATCCCCAACAATCCTCAAATTTCTAATCCCCAAAAGGCCGGCAACGTACTTGTAACGCCACTGGTGTTGCAGATGTCAATGGGTGACGCCGATTGCTTACCATCAGGTGATCCGTGTCCTAGTTTATCGACTTATTTCTTAAAAAAATACATAGACAAAATGAAAAAAATATTTGTTTCCAGTCGTAATACTCGAAAACGTTACCAAAGATAGGCGCTGGCACTTAAAATTCGTCACAAACTTAATTCAGAACTCGTTTCTTAAAACATTCACCTTTTCAAATGTTCTTTTGGGTGAGTACTTAAAGTTTGGCTGACTCGTCTGCTCAAAGGTTTCTCGCCTCTTCAAAGTGTGAGTTTTGTAACACAATGAATTTTTAAGTGGCTCACAATGAGCGCCTCTTGTGAGGGAATTCAGGCATTAATAGTACCTTCTTTGTTAGGTTGTATAACATTGCTGTGCAGTTGGAATGATTCGTCAATCGAGTATGGAATAATTCCTTAACATCTTTATTATAATTTCGAAAAAATAAGTTGTGAGTTGAGCAAAGCATTATTCATTTTTACGACTGTACATATTACAATACAGTATTTGTACGACTGTTTAAATATTGTGGGTTAAATTATAATTCGGGTAGAGTAATCTGGTTTTTGAAATTTAGGCATATTTCACTTTGACGGCCGTTAAATAGGCTCACCCAACTGATTACTTTTTGGTGAATAGTGCCTACTGGCCTTCCCCATCTGGGGATATCGCGGTGTTACTTAAGATTATGTCTGTGTATATTCTATGTATGTACTTACAAACACTCTCCTTACAGACAGCTCGTCTAGCATGGCACATATTGACAAAGAACTGAAATCCCTTCTTGTATCTGCTGAACATCATGCACACTGGCTCCAGGTCCAGCTTAGGCAGATCCTGGCACACATTCGCACATAGACGTTTGGTTCCATGTTGCATGTTTTCATGCAGTAAGTGTGTTACTTTTGGCGCTGCACCCACTACAACTGATTAGATTTTAACAATGAATAAGTACATGTCGAAGGATGGTGTGGGCGATGTTGAGCGAGAGCCCTCTTCGTCATATACCTCTATATCTGGTAGAGGTATGTTCATGCAGCAACAAAACAATTAAATCTTCGCAAATAAAATAATGTTTACTTTCGACAGTGCACCTTTACTTGTTCCTGCCTGCTGTCGTGTGATGTTGAAGTCACTCAATCTCCCCCACTCTTAGGCGGATATGACGTCATAATTAACTGTTGAAGCGCGCCATCTTTATTCATTTTGTTATCATCCTTCGTTTTGTAGTAAAGCGACATCCCGTACTAATGAGCGTTTCGACATACAAGTATATAATATTTGGTCACCTCGCCCATGTGTTCTATATGCTAGAGTCGTAAGCGTCGACCAATGGACTACACTTGATAATAACTACGAAGCAGTGCTCTCTGATAAACCTATCCCTTGAAGATGTCGCGGAGAACCTAACGGGTAACCGGGGCTCCGGCTCGACGTGCAGGAGAAGGAACGGGGTGGTTTTTAGCCAGTGAGACTCTCTCCCGCCTCACCTAGGCGGGAGCAGTCAATCGATGATTTTTCCGCCTTAAAAAAATCCCTTGAAGATTGTAGTTGGATCACAAAATATTTTATAAGAGGAGGATAAACTGATTAGTACCTAACTTAACTGAAGTACAAACTAATGGATAATCCGAGGATTAAACACAGAAATTTAAGTGCACAGCTTATACGAGGGCCTGTCGGATATGTCATAGCTTGTGCTATAATCTTAAGTTGTATTTTTTTGTATGTAGTGCTAATTATTAATTTGCTGTGCTGTTCTCTTTGAGTTAACATCTTATTAAATTTCTTTCTTGCTGTGTTTTTATTAATCTTATCCTGCGAAGCCCTGGCTTTTATACAGTTCGTTTACTGACTAACCAGTTATTGGTATGTTTGTGTTGTTCCTCCTATCCTAGTTTTATTAAGTGTTACTTTTTCTACTTAAACTTCCAACGCCAAGCCACTTCCACTGTCATAAGATTTCTGAATTTCTATCTACTAATACACACTGTCCACCAAGTAGTTTGCACGAGCCTCGGCGTTTTTTCAAACTAGACGAGCTTCTCTCAACAATTCAAGCGAGTAAGCAGTTTATTTCAATTACTTAATCTATCTACTACATTATAAAAAGTAAAGATTTACCAATCACAACCGTCGAAATTGGGATAGTTAGCCAAAACATGCCAACAATAGAACTTCAGTTTCCAATTGAAAATACAATTTTATTTTATTACTTTTTTATTATTTACGAGAACAATTCTCTATTTTATAGTATTAGACTTATCGAGTATTTCAATAAAATCGTTACATTTTAAAATCTATTTTCAATCAAACTTTACACTTTTAATTTGAATTAAGAATACTTTAACGGTTTTTATATTTTAAACTGGTAACATTGTGTTCTTATTTTAAAAGTTTTTTCTTTTTTAACGTAAAATCTAGAGTAAGGAGTTCTTGTTGAAGTTTGTAACAGAAATTAAAATGGACAAGTATAAGTTTTGAATTTAGGATTTTCCATCATCAGTGCTAAATTGTAGAAGTACCAGTTCGTATGTCACTATTGTTCCTGCGATCTGTAACAAAAAATGTAGCTTTAGCATTTATTTCTTAAGGAAGAATGTTCAGTTGTTTGAACATGATAATCCTTGAAAGATCTAGTCCAACTTCAGTAATGATTCTTGCTGGAATACGGAAACGTTACTCAATTTTAAGTCGTGCTTAAATATCGTGCCATGTCTGTCATTTCACAAAGAATTTGTAGTGACAGAACTATACTTAAGCGAAGACGTGATACAAGAAGATATTTCTGACTCTGTTTATAATGACTATCGTGATATATGCTGATTTAACTAAAAATTACGATTTACTCACGTAAATATACTGAGAAAAGCTCTACTAGTTTCGAGTTACAGAGGGACTCTTCCCTGTGACTGTGAATAGCGTGCGCGGTCGCGGCTATGTCGCACAGCCTACTGTAGGCTGCTTTCCTCAGTATGGTAACGTGAGCAACTTGTATATTTTTGTTAATTAATGACACTTGTAAATATTTAAACACCCAATAGTAGTTCGCCTGACTGCGGAATTAAAATCACGACCTCTTGCTAAGTAACTGTACTTACGACCATTCAATCAACTAGATTCTCATAATAAAAATACCGACTTCAAAAACTAATAAAAACCAAAAAGTAAAAACTAAAAAGGAAAAAATAACTATTATTGGTCATACGTACTTATAGCTTACACACTCACTGATAGGTGAGAAGAAACTGATGAATCATCAGATAATCATTAACTGTAGAATCATTTTAATCATCAGTGATGATTGAAAAATCGGCCCTAAGTCCTCAATTACTTTTAGACCGAACAAGTCTCTCAATTATTCAAAATACATACCCTACAAAAGCTGGAGATAAAATCGTTCACCGTACAACGATACGAATTCCTGTATTGTCAGTCTCCATTGTACAGGCTACACAGTACATACTAAGCCACACAAAACCAGTAAAGGCTGACCGACGAATGTGTAGAAAGATTATACAAAAGGAGACCATGGTGAACTGGTTTTGCATAACTTGATGTGTACCGGAGGCAAATGACGGGACTCATCCAAGCTTGGTGGACGTTTCCATTCAGTTGCCTTGATTGATTTGCGAATTCATACAATGATTTGCAGATGTTCGATGTAAAAGGTCTATTGGGTAAATACTGGGTTCTTTGTTGAAATGACTGTGGTAGTCTTAGACCTATTAATTACCAGACGCACATTTTTTAATACTTCAATATTTGGTTTTGAAGTTAAAAAGAGCCTTGCTAGTTTAATTAAAATAAAGAAAATTGAGTTTGACTTTGAATATAAAACATCCTAGTAACAGTTAGTTTGTTAATATGGAACGAAGCGTAAATAACAGATTTAAACAAAAGTCCTGTGCCGTGTGCAGCTCAGTGAGCTGCTAAAGGGCAGTCCGAAACTTACTAGAGACGTAGATCAAAATATATTTTGACCTTGTTTATTAAATGTATTATAACACTAACTTCATATTATTATTAGGTCGTTTTGTAAAAAAAAACGTTATCAATATAAGGTTGGTAATGAATTCCCCACTACTTAATATTATAAATACCAAAGTTATTATGTTTGTTTGTTACACCTTCACGTCAAAACGGCTGCAGGGATCGGGATGAAATTTGGAACAGGGGTAGACTTATAGTCTGAAATGACACACAGGCAACCCTTTAGGAACGTGGCTGAAGTCGCTGGCAGAAGCTACTTTTACAAGAACTAGTGTAAAATCTCCTACTGATAAAATTTGTAATTTTATTTTTAAACTAGCTACTTCTGCTCGGTTTCACACGCTCGGCTCAGCTCCTATTGGTTGTAACGTGATGTTTTAGCCTATAGTCATCCTCCATAAATGCGCTATTCGACACAAAAATAATTATTCAAATCAGACTTGTAGTTACGGAGATTAGCGCGTTCAAACAAACAAACAAAAAACAAACTCTTCCGCTTTATGTACATAATAGTATAAGATAACCTTTTATTTAAGAACATCTTACAAAAAAGATTAAGCGAAATAGTCCAGCCGTGTTCTCAAGGATGTGATGATAAATGGCCAGGGAGAAATTGGGATTAATTTTTCAGTTATATTTTTAATGTGGGACAGCCATGCTTCGGCACGAATGGGCCGGCTCAACCGGAGTAATACCACGACCTCATAGAAAACCGATATGAAACAACGCTTACGTTGGGTTTCGTCGTGTGATTAAGTTTAAAGGAAGTTCAGTTCCCCCTCCCGCCCCCTAAATTCCAAGAATACTCAAATTCCTAATCCCCGAAAGGTCAGTAACGCACTTGTAACGCCTATGTTGTTCCAGTTGTCCATGAGCGACGCCGATAGCTTACCACCAGGTGATCCGTCTGCTCGTTTACCGACTTATCAATTGTGATAAGGTTTTAAATGAATTTATTTTAATGAATGATATAATTTGCGAACATTTCATATAATAGGTTTGCTAATTTTTTACATAGCGTTTACTAGCTGATTATAAATTTCTATACTTTAAAGCCTGTCTATCAATTTCATTTGCAATATAATGAAATTAAATTATAAAATGCTAACGTTTTCAAACACATTTGTTTTTTATTTTAAAACTCAAACTCAAACTCAAAAGCATTTATTTCAATTAAACCATGATTTGGTACTTTTGAAACGTCAACAAATATGAGATATATAATAGTCTGTCAGTCTGTCCGTCAGTGAAGCTAGGCGCTCGTTCCAAAATGTCGATTCGAGTGGAGAAGAACGAGCAAGAAACTCCATTCGTTACTCTTTTAAAAAAGTCTGTTTTACATTGCTCTGATACATATTCCAATATTGTACACACATGTGAGAATAATGTAAAGACATACCTGAAGCAACATACAAATAACAGAACATACTAAAATAGAAAAAAAAAAACAAAACCAAGAGAAAACAAATATCTTAAGTCTGACATGGTCCTCACATATGTATACTGACAATCCATATAAAATAGTGCTTCTATACAAGAAAAAAATAAAAAATATACTCTTGTTTAAATAAAGAAAGAAATGCTCGATGCCACAAGAAAAATAGATTGCCTTCATCGGAATCAAAGTGTTAAATTACCTATTATCGTAATCTGAACTAGGTACTGACTACATTTGAGTATTGTCCAGTGGAGCCGAACCAACACGCTGCCAAGCATTCCTATCCTCAAGATAATCAATCACCCTGTAGTACGCTTGTTTACATAATTCGCGCTTAATATATGTTTTAAATTTACTTTCATTTAGATCTAGTATGCTATTTGGTATTTTATTATAGCATTTAATACCTAACCCCATAAAAGATTTCAGTACCATGGACAGTCTGAATTGCAGTACAGCTAACTTATTCTTGCCTCTAGTATTAAGATTGTGTCTATCGCTTCTTTTGACACTTCTTTAATATCGTGAATTAGTTTTTCTACTGTAAAATTAAAATTGATGAATGATGCAGTTTCTTCTTATTATTATTTTTTGATATGGCTAATATTTTCAAATTCAGATACATTTATTAATGTGTGAGGAATATTAATGGTCGAATAGTACGGACTGCGATCAACACTAATGTATATTTAACATGAATAGATTTATTAATTATTTTCTAAGCTATTGGTTATAAGAATATTTGTGTTGGCAAATACAGGTATTTACCAGTTACTATTAGTTTTCTAAGGGCCTATTGTCCCAAAACCAGATAATTTTATCGAAGGAATAAATTTGAATATTTGACGATTCTTTCATACGAATTTTATTTTACTGTGACTGCCTCGTTGGCCGAGTGGTCGGAAGTGCGACGGGCAAGGAGTCTCGGATTCGATTTCCGGGTCGGACAGATTATTACTGGGTTTTTAAAGAAAATCTAAAAGCACGGAACCTGGAAATGTGCTCGGTATATGACAATAGGCTCACCCACTATTATATGGGCATGTACAGTGACATTAAGTCCCGTAATGTGCACTTCTGCTTATCCCTTCGGGGGATAAAAGGCGTAATTTTACGTTGAATTTTATTTTATAGAATTATATTGATTGAAAAATCAGCCTTAAGAGTGATACTTTTAAACTCGGTATTCGATTGTCATTATATTAATAGCAGTTGATGTCTTATTTTGTTCCGTTAACAATAATGTGAATAAATTACCGATAAAAGGCAACTAATTTTATGCTGACCTCAGAAGAAGTGTCAATATTTAACAAGACAAGACAATGTCAGTACCTATATTTATTTTTGGACGAGGAAATATCGAAATATTGTATTAATAAGAGTCATTGACATTTTTATTTTTTCTTCAAATATTTAGCTTTATTTCGCATGACCTTTTCTCAATTGGAATCGGTATCAAGTATTAACCGAACTCAGTTAATGTCAATGTTTTAAGAGGACTTATGTTTACTCTCCTGCTCATTGGCCGAGTGGTCGCAAGTGCGACTGCCGGGCAAGAGGTCTCGGGTTCGATTCCCACCATTAGCACGGAGTCTGGAACTCTGCCCGGTATATGGCAATAGGCTCACCCCCTATTACATGGGACTCATAACATAAATAGTGAAAAGTGGGTGTTAGATTATAGTGGCATTAAGTGCCGTAATGTGCCCTCTGCCTACCCTTTCGGGGATAAAAGGCGTTATGTTATGTAATGTTTACTCTCTGCCAGGTGCAGCAGGTGCTGAGGACGAGATTTTGTAAGATTTCTTAGGGTTTTTTATCATATTATGTAGATATTCGCTTGGCCACCGGAATCAATAGCTTATCATGTTCTACGATACGTGGCAATTACATATTGACGTATGTCTAGACTTTAGAAAGTCTCTATTAGTATAGTAGGAATTAGTATAGTAATGTAATCTATAACTGAATAGTAAATTTAAATTGAAAAATCCACTGGCACCTTTTCGTGAGATGGGGCGGTAAACGAGCTAATGGATCAGAAAGAAAGAAAGAAACCGTTTATTACGCCACGACCCACATGCAGACAAAAATGCTGACTGCCGCGTAACGTTTCGCGGGTTTGATTCAAGTATGGAACAACTCTTTGTGTGATCCACAGATTGTTGTTCCGGGTCTGAGTGTCATGTATGTGAACTTATATGTTTGTAAACGCACTCACGACACAGGAGAAAATCCTAGTGTGGGGCAACGTTTAAAAAAAAAAGACCTTCATGGAACATCGCCGCGCAAAAGGCCGGAGGTGACCACAGATCACCTGATGGTAAGCAATTGGCGCCGTCCTTAGAGGAGCTACAAGTCCATTGTCAGCCTTTTGGGGGATAGGGACTTGAGGATTGAGGAACCATGATTTAAAGGAGTCGATCATCCATAGACTGTCTTACTCAACTTTCAGTATTTTTGGAAATATTGTAAGTGTGGAAGAGCCATGCTTCGGCACGAATGGGCCGGCTCGACCGGAGTGATACTACGGCCTCACAGAAAACCGACGTGAAGCAACGCAAGCGTTGTGTTTCGTCGTGTAAGTGAGGTTATCGGAGGCCCAATTACCCGCCCCTTCTCCAATCTCTCCAATCCCTGAATCCCCATCGATCCTCAAACTCCTAATCCCCAAAAAGCCTGTAACGAACTTGTAACGCCTCTGGTGTTCTAGGTATCCATGGGCGACGCCGATTGCTAACCAACAGGTCATCCGTCTGCTCGTTTACAGGCTTATGCCATAAAAAACAATATTTTTATTTTTTATTCTAGTAATACTTACCGTAAGAACTAAATCTCTAGTAATATAAAAGAAATGTAGTCCACTGAACGCAACCACGACACCATCATTGATTTGGTTCTGAAACCTTTCAACCTGTCAAAGTAAAAGGAATTTTAAAATAAGGTACGTAAAAGTGAGTTTACGTTTTATAGCTTTAGAGTACGAATCTCACGATCGGAATTGGATCGTAAAGAAGAAATCACGCGGGTAACATAAATGTAGTGTTTTATTTTGATATGCAAAGACACCTTTATAAAATTGCGCACCATGTATGTGCAAGTAAATCAAATCTTTGTAAAATAATAATTCCTACAATATTACACCCAATTTCCACCAATTCGGTAGTTTCCAGGGTATAGGAAGAACCTACAGTTGTTTGGTAAAGTGTCTGACAGACACCACTATCAAACTAGACATAGGGATAGACTAAGTCAGCCACTATTTAGATTTCTTGACCTCAAGGTTATTTTCTTTTTCCGTCTCCTTGACCAAATATTGGTATTATATTGTTCTCACATTATTGAACTCAACGGAAGAATATAACCAAAAATTGTATTGTGAACATTATTGAAAAAGAGTAACCTATAGAGTTTCTTGCTCGTTCTTCTCCATAGGAATCTACGCCTTGGAATGAGCAAATAGCTTCACTAGAGGACTGACCTACAGACTGACATTTTTTCTTATTATTTAATATTTAAATATTTTGTTTTGACGTTCAAAAGTGCCTTACTGGTCTAATTGAAATAAATGATTTTGACTTTGACTTTGACTTTATCAAAATTAAAAATCTAATTAGTCCGTCAGTTAGATAATGAAAAAATATTAGACACGTATTTTTTATTTTCTCGTATTAAGTTGCAATACTTAGATAAAATGGCGCTAAGTTTAGAAGTGGGAGGTTGTTACGTCATAACGTGCTACAAACTGTGACACGCTGTGACGTCACACTATATTTCAAATTAATAGAAGGAAAGTATTTAATTTTGTGAGAAAAGAAAAAAATACGTGTAAAGTTTTAAATTAATCTACCAGACGGATAGATTTAGGAAAAATTAAAATAAAATTTAGGAAACGACCATTACATTATTAGTTGGATGTAATAGGGGATGGTTCTGTTGTTAATTAAATGTTACTACTGAGAAATATTTGTAAAGTTAAACATTTTTAAAATTCGAACCTGGTATAAAAAAATACCATAGAGAATTTTTCCTAGCTACGAACCTCTTTGCAGTATGACGTTGTAGGCACAGCAAACAGGATGGGCCCCGGTACCATAGAGGCTGAATGTATGCGTGCAGCCACTAGTGCCACAGACAGGAACCGAACGAACAGATACACTGACGAATACGTGAGGTAAGCTGGGTATATGTAGTATCGGGTGTAACTGGAAAATGAAATGTTAGGCTGGTTTTTAGGAACAAAGAAGCTATAGGTATATTTTTTGTAGATAATAATTATCAGAAATGTACAGTGTTGAATGAAACTTATACTAGTAAATTAATTTTATAACTTTTTGGTTTATTGTCGCATTTTTTTTCTAGTACTGGCCACATTTCAGGCTTAATCTAAATAGGAATTAAAATCAAATTTCAAGGCTCGGAACATAATAAGGAAAAAGACACTTTGTGCATGCAACCATGCGACTTTTTCAATAATAAAGCATTGTTTCGTTTTTAAACAAAACGAATGAATTCAGTTGTGGAAAATGTTGACGAATAAATATGTCAAAATACTATTTATTATTATTTTTTAAGGTGTAATAATTTAAGTTCATAGTTATTTATATTTTAAGTTGTATATGTTTTCTTTTAGTAATAGTAATTATAAATTTTCCTATTTCTTTATTAAATCCTATAGTATCTCATTGAAAAGAAAAATAAAAGTGCAACACGTACATAATATGTTGATTTCAATTGTATTATTATTATTACTTTTAATTTATTGTTATTTTTATTATCATTATTATTGGTTGATTATATGAGAGTTACTTTTAAATTATTTATCAATATTTTATTAAGTTCATTTATATCTACAGGTGAGAGATCAATTGGTGTACTTTCACTCACCTATTTTCGTATGCGGGGCACATTTTAGTAAGGACTTGCGTAGTTCTTACACTATTCCTATAACAAAATTAAGTACACAAAATGTCACAGTCGAAGTTATTTACAAGTTTTTCTGTGACAGGTGGCTTGTAACCTGTCATAGTAGCTCATGCCTAGCAATAGACGTCTTGTGGCAGATTATGATACGAAATCAATCGAAAATTAAACATAATATTGTAATTAAGTAATCAATCAGCCTGACTGTAATATGAATAAAATAAATAGTGTAAGATTTTATTATACTTGATAGCTTGGCGATGGAGCTCACCTACCTATGAGCAACTTGTTTACTCGGGACTTGAAGACACCCAAGTTGTATTTAAGAAACACAGATTCCGGCAATGAAATGCATTTCTTAGCGGTTCGCACAAGGAAACTTAATGCGAAATGCTTCGTGCGAATGGTTATGGTCATGGATAGTTACAAATTTATAAAATAATCTACACGTATTTTGATTCATCTGTAAAATTCATTTCAACCAAAATACTAAGCCAGCTATTACAAAACGCAAAAAATATATAAAAGAAACCCCCAGGTATTTAGCAAAGAAAAACTATAAAAGAAAATACTTACGATAGTATATTATAAAGCTGCATGCATATGAAGAAGAGGTCGTTAGCGAATGATATCAACACAATCCCGCTCAGTACGTCATCAAATCGTTTTACTAAATTCGTAGCTCGAGTGTAGTCCTCCCTTAACTCACCCCATTTTGAAGCGGGGACGTAGTTCTAAAAGAAAAAAATAGTACACCTACGTAAGAGTCAAAAATATATGTGATGAAATGTGAATAAATGAATTTTGAATTTTGAATTTTGAATTATAAGCGAACTCGAAAGGCCATTTTGCAGGTTGCTCCTATTAGTGGGTGTCATATGAATGCTGACATACATCTTGCCGTCGGGCACCCAGTACAAGTTTTTAGCATTCATGAAAAAAAATAAAAAATCTATATCATGTTGAGATTGGTTAATATTTTTTCATAGAATAAGCCGGTAAACGTGTAGACGGATCTTCTAATGTAATCAATCGGTACCACCCATAGACACCTAAAACACCGGTGTTACAATTGTTAGGGATTAAGAATTTGAGGATTGTTGAGGATTGGGGAGATTGGCGAGGGGGATAATTGGGCCTCCGTTAACCTCTTTCACACGACGAAACACAACGCAAGTTGAGTCATGCACTCAATGGCCTCCGCTGCGCACTGGAGGGGACGACAGACGGCGGCGTGCGCGGCGACGACCGCCTGCCCCGCACGGCCGCCGTCTCGCCAGACAGCTGTTGGACACTACGACGCACGTCCGCGCTCGCGCCTTCTAATCCACAGTTATATTCAATTTCTTATAACCATTATTGTAACAGTCTAGTTAATTATTATATTGCGTATTATACAGTCCACAAGTACATTATTTCTCTCCACTTAACCATCGAACGAACACAAGTGTTGTTTCACGTCGGTTTTCAGTGAGGTCGTGATACCTATTACTCGGGCCGGCTCATTCGTGCCGTAACATGGCTGTCCCACACGAATTGTGACAGAGGGATAGTTTAAAACTGGGAAATTGAGATTCAAAAGATATATTGTATGTACTATTATTATAAACAAAATAAATGCAGCAAAAAGAAAATTGGCAGAACGTTACCTTACTAGCTGTAGCCGCAATTTTCTTGTTAATCTGTTGCAAAATTGAAGTGAGGTACAAACTCATGTTTACAATGAAAATATCTGCGTAGTTCCAAGTAGCCGTCGCTACTATATTCAAGTACTGAAAATGAAACTTCAATACGTTCAAAAGTCAGTTAATATAATATTTTGGGCTGTCTGGTAATATTTATTCATTAATATGTTGCCCTACACTAGGATTTTCTCCTGTGTCGTGAGTGCGTTTATAAACGTAAAAGGTCACATACACATGACACCCAGACCCGGAACAACTATTTGTGGATCACACAAAGAGTTGCTTCGTGTGGAAATCGAAACAGCGACACATTGCACGGCAGCCGGTTGCCCAGCCACCGCACCAACCGTGCCGTCATATACATTTTTTAAATCAATTAATAATTTTACAATATAATATAATATTACATTTAATTGCATAACAAAGCCTCCGACGTTGCCGATCATGTGTAATAGCGCTTAGACCTTTTGATGGACAGTATTCAAAATTATATTTATCTAACTTCAAACTAGGAGGTCTACCTGCACAATAACTCCCAGAGCCACAACATAAGGCACATTGAGTTCATACAGCCATGGTGACGTCACTTTGATAAATACCTCGCCCACATCTACCGGCCCGTTGCACTCCAGTATCCTACCGATCCGCGATATTATTGACATCACGTGTTCCACTGGAAGAGACAGGTGAACAGGTGAATCTTAAAACATTACACGGTTGATTTTTACTCGATTGTGTCTCTTGTCTACTTAGTTCCATTCTCGATTGATTGAAGACTTGATGGTTATAGTGATAAGTTCATCAACCACGAGATATTTACACACTAAACAAAAATGATTACTGAAGCATAGCACCAAGATTAGTCTAAAAAATTTATGAGAAGCAGAAATCTGCTAGATGCAGATCACACAGATCACACAAATTTTCCATCAGCGGATCTTCACTAGACCATGTGGTTATTATTGGTGATCATTGGAAAAAATGAAAAATGGTAAAAATACTGACGCCGGAGGTTTAAGACGCTCGCTTCCTACCAATGGCAAGTACCAATGTGAACTTTTCCATGTAACTTTTCTAAGATTATTTAGGCACCACTGACAAACAGAGGTGGAAAACATTTGAGGAAACCTGGGCCTATAATTTCTAATTATATGTTTGAAATTGCCAACCCGCATTGAGCAAGCATGGTGATTCAAACCTTCTCCGAAGAAATGGCCTTTTGTCTGCAGTGGCCACTTATAGGCTGTTGATGATGATGATTCTCCTCATTCCAATCCGATTTACTTCTGAAGTGAAAAACGACGATACTTACTGATAGCCATTCCCATGAAACCACAGCAGGCTATGTTGCATCTCCGTATGACGTTAGGGTCTATGTACTCTTCTAACTTAGAGTTGATAAGCTCTTTCATCAGAGCCGGCCATCTTGAGGCGATCCACATGAAGGAATACGTGGTAAGAGATACTGTTGTGAAGAATATTAAGAAAGCTGCGAAAATAAAATAAAATATAAATTAGGTAGTATCAATTGGTCGTCGATGATCGACTGTTTTTAAGTGCGTCTACTGAACTAAGGGTTCTCGGTTCCAGCCCCCAACTGTCTTCCAACCCAACAATGGATTAAATAATAATTTTCGAAATTTTTAAAAACAACGAATATTTTGTTTTAAATAACATAACATAACATCACGCCTTTTTATCCCCGAAGGCAGAGGTACACATTTCGGCACTTAATGCCACTGTACAATGTAACACCCACTTTTCACTATTTATGTTGTAAGTCCCGTATAGGGGGTGAGCCTATTGCCATATACCTGGCACATTTCCAGACTCCGTGCTACTACTGAGATTTTTAAAAACCCAGTAATACTTTGCGCGACCCGGGAATCGAACCCGAGACGCCTTGCCCGGCAGTCACACTTGCGACCACTTGGCCAACGAGGCAGTCAGTTGTACTTAAATGTATATGTTTATATATTTGTTGGTCATACCCAGAGCTGGAAGAGACGATGGCATTTTAAACAGCCTGTAGCAACATAAACAGGTTCCTATAGACTGGAAAATAGCCATTATAACAGCAAACAAAAACTTCCAGGAGCACTTTGTAAACCTGAGAATAGAATTCAAAATTGATTAATTGAATAATTATATTTTTAATATAACTATCGCGATAAGCTAAATTTACTAAAATCGAGGGTTACTCACATGAATATACTTAGAAAAGCTCTACTAGTTTCGAACCACTGAGGGGTTCTACCTCATGAGCACCGTGCGCGGTAGCGGGGATGTCGCGCAGCCGTACTGTACTACTGAAGGCTGCGCGACATCGCCTAATTAATTGAATAATTATAACTATCCGATTTAGTAGGAATAGTTTTATTTTTAACTAGTGTTGCCCATGACTTCTCCGTGTAAAATCCTGTTTTATCTCATGGGAGCATTTAATCGAGATAAAAAGTTCTATTACCTAAGTCAGCCCATACCCTGCCTGTATATCAAATTTCATCAAAATCCGTCTCAGCGTGATTGACGGACAAACATGCAAACATCTAAACAAATAAACTTTCACGTTTATGATATTAGTATCGTTAAAGTAAGTAGGTAACAAGTTATTAAATAATTGACTTAAATTAGACAATAATGAAAAGTAAAAAAAATGTCAATAGTTTGAGCGCACTAATTCATTTTGATTTCCAAAAGGACCCTTAAAAATGGTGTACTTAGAATTGGTTTTTGTGTAACAGTGGGATATCCTAGACTAAGATAGAATGTACCTCATTTTCGACAAGTCCTTTTGTGTTATTCCTGTGACTGGATTCAGTCCTATGCATGTACCACCAATGAAGAGCACCTTCATTGCTTTTTGAAACGTAAGAAATTGATCTTTCGGTTTATTTTTACGGCCTTCATCGTGCGTAACTGAAATATGAATATATTATTAGAGAAAATTATTTAAAAGGAAAAATGTTATTTATTTCAATTATGAGACGTGGAGGCTACTAAAAGTCTTATTTCAATACAACATAATATCACGCCTTTTATCCCCGAAGGGGTAGGCAGAGGTGCATATCGAGACTTAATGTACACAATGTGACACCCTCTTTTCACTATTTATATTATGAGTCCCGTGTAATAGTGGGTGAGACTATTGCCATATACCAGACACATTTTCAGACTCCGTGCTACTACAGATTTTTTTTAAATACAATCATACTTTGGAATCGCACCGAAGTCCCCTTCCCCGGCAGTCGTACTAGCGACAACTCGGTCAACGAGGCAGACTTAATTTCGAAAGCATTAATAATATTAAATTTTGGTATAAAATGCATGGCATTTTCGTGTTATTAGTGGGTATGGGTATTTTTTTTTATTGTTAAACTGCATCGGCTAATTGTATATACCATGCAATCAAATTGTTAATTTAAAATAATACTTACCATCATCGAAAATCCAGTGTTTAGCGCTACCCTTTTCATTAGCACTGTCAAAGAGAACAAAAAAATTACTGAAAATAATTCACCAAACGAAAATATTCACTTCATTGCACACTTACTGGTCCAGCTGATTTTCTTGTAAAACTTTGAAATTAATAATCTCTAACTCCTTTGAGACGTCTGTAAATAAATAAATTTTGATTTTTTTTCAATTTTTCAAATCAATCGTTCTTTATATTTTTATTTGATGAATTCTTTCCTTTGATAAGGTACTAACTAAACGTAATTTCTTCATTTGATTCGCTGATTTGAGTCTTTTAAACTAGTTTTCTACGTTAACTGACTTATTTCGGGTAATTGATTAGTTAGTTAGATAAATGTTGATTTTTAAATTTATTTTATATAAAAATGAAACCCGTTTCCCGTTGCCACGCTAAAACTTGAGAACGGCTAGACTGATTTGGCTGTATTTTTTTTGTTGTGTTTCTTATGATATGATAATGTTTATTATGAAAATCCTACGGCAACGGGAGAAAACAGGATTGCGCGTACGAAGTCGCGGGCAGAAGCTAATAGGTTTATAAAATCATTGATTTTCAAAGTATCTTGTCGCCATTTTTTATGTAGATTATTAATTAGCGATTCACTGTCTGAAGACACATAAACTATTCTCAGATAATTCATCTTAAAAATGTCCCCCAACCATAATTTACTAATTTTACTGGGCGATAATGGAACGCTTCCAAAAACGCCGCTAGGTGATGGTTAAAAATATGCTAAGTAAGGAAATATAATATATGTGTTCTTTACATAATAATAGTTATTATCAACTACTCGAGGCTGATGATGCATGAATAATACGAAAACATAACATAAGAGGTGCACATTATGCCACTGTACAATGTAACACTCACTTTTCAATATTCATGTTATGAGTCCTATGTAATAAAGGGTGAGCATATTGCCGTATACCTGGACAATTCTAGACTCCGTGCTACTACAGAGAATTTTAAAAAAACGCAATATATTTTTGCCCGATCCGGGAATCGAACCCAAGACCCCTTGGTAGTCGCACGTTTGCGACCACTCGGCCAACAAGGCAGTACAGTCGAGTAACACGAAAACGATTAATAATTGTAAAAACAATTTCTTTTTGTCAGTGTTCCGTTTGCACCCTGTAGGTAAAAGTCGAACTTCGTATTCGACAGTCAACATTACGACCATAAACACAAGTTTAAATAAAAAAAAAAAACATCAAAACAATTAATAAAGAATATATACCAACCATTAAGATGCCTACCGAATTCAGAACTCATATTCAAACACGTTTGTTCAACACTAGTCTGAAATGACAATCAGAAACAAAGTAAGTACAATATTAAACTTACCTTCGACCCCACAATTTAGAACTATCTTGTACTAATGTCACTTTATTCAAATGATTAATGCCTACATTCAGAACATGAATATTTTATCACCTCACGTCAAATTTTGAACATTGTTTGAACATAGTTTTGGAACATGACATGTCATATAAAGGGTGTTGATTGATTAAATATTTTGATGTTTTATTTATTATGGTAAACTTGTAGAGGGTGTGTCATTGTTGATGGTTTTGATTATTTTTACTGGAATAGATTTAAGATTAATTTTGAACGTGTTTATAATAAAAACGGTGTTATTAAAAGCAATTGATTGACTCGATGTCCTTAATCATAAGTTTTGAAGTCTACATCACTACATAGTATAAAACAAAATCGCTATCCGCCGTCTGTCTGTCCCTATGTATGCTTAGATCTTTAAAACTACGCAATGGATATTGGTGCGGTTTTTTAATAGATCGAGTGATTCTTAAGGAAGGTTTATATGTATAATAAGCTGAGCGTGCGAAGCCGGGGCGGGTCGCTAGTCTTATTCATAAAATCATGTACGTTTGATTGTTTCGCCTGAATAGTAGAACGAATTTGGATAAAATTTGATATAGCTGTATTAGTTTAGGTGAGTACAAAACAGCTTTCAAGGTGAATTTGATAAATATTCAAGATAACTTTAGAAGTTATTGTAGGAGGTTCATATACAATGAAGTTCTGTTATTTATGGAGATAGTTTCTTTATTAACTTCTAATAATTACAATAGAAAAACAGAAATGGGAAGAAAAAAATAGCTGTCACCCGGCAGTCAGAACAGTAGTGACATGCGGCTCAAAATGGAATTAATTATTGCGTTCCAATTCCTACAGTTACCTTGAATAAAAATTGAGACGTAACCCAAACTAAAGGACACAAATAACGTCATCATATAATAAAATTGTCACCAAGTTTATTGTCATGCTGCAAAGGAGTTGAGAACAGTTGAAAATGTTGCAATCTAAAATTGTAACAAGATTTGATTCGACTCAAGTATCGTATCTGAAACCTTATGCTCAACAGTCACGTTTACACCTACTTAGATCAATTACTACCCACGCAAGTAAAATGTTCTTAGCTTTGTTTCTTAGTGTTGGTACTTTCTATTTCAAATTTTGTTTTAACACGTTAAACGCCATGGGGGTCACCGGTGACCGGCGTTAGCGGAGGATTTACCTTCAACAGTTTTTTATTGGCAGTCAAAGTCTTAAAGGTCCAAAATTACTTTTTAGTTTCTACATTATGTCTAGTTGTCCAGTCATGCTTTGAAGAAGTACAGATATGTAACTTTATTTCTATATTTAATTCTTTATTTAACTAGATCATCGTGTCGCAACCTATGGTCCGCGAACCCCTGGGGGTCATCAATAAACAGTTAAAATTACCTTCTGTATTCTGTATTCTTATAATTGCGTAATCCTTTAGTTTGCTATTTTAGTAAGGGGGTCCGTTAAAACTGGTCGTGATTTCCAAAGGGTCCG